GAGAGAGAGAGAGAGAGAGAGAGAAAGATGGGGAAATCGAAACCTGGAAAACGAAAAGCTTTGAAACCTCGAAACTAGGAAAAGCAGCTTCGGTTGGGCGTGACTTGTAAAATAGAAGTGCAGCTAATAAATTTCCCCCCTTCTTTTCTATGAAAGAATACCCTTCCATGTAATAATATTTGGGAATGAGGGATTTTTATTCACGTTATTACTTCGCACACGAGATCGTGAGAAGGAGAGCCGGTGTTGGGAGGCAAGTCGGTAGCGGAGGGAAGGTACTGGCGCTAAGCCAGAGGCTCAAAGGAATGGGGAGGGCACGTGGGTAGCATGATATATAACTTATATGCATATATAAATATATATCGTTTCGATTCGTAATAATTAACCGACCGAGCAGGCACGCCCAAGAGAAGAAGCGAGCCAGCCGACCGACCCACGAAGAGAAAAAGGGCGTAAGAACATGGAGCGATATCCGAGGCCTCAAGGGGTGTATTATCTCGATAATCCCCCATCTTCCAAACAGTAAGAGAGGGAGAATTATACACGTTTGTTCTTAAAGAAAATCAAGGATGATGATACATGTCCAATATCTCATCACCTCAAAAACCGAACGAACGAACGACGACGATAAGACACACGCTTTTGTTAAATTTTTCTTCACAGCGGGTGGCCAGATCAGTAGCCCTTGTTCTCTTTGTCTTTCTCTTTCTCCTTCTTCTTCTCTTTCTCTTCCCCTTTCTCTTTCTTTGACCCTCCGTCACACGAGGGCGGCGTGTCGGAATTGGAGGGGTAGCCGGAGGTCGATCTAAGAGAGAAGAAATTAGTCGCGAGTTCTGTGACCTGGAAAAAACATACTAATCAAAAAGAATGGAAAGCTAAGCTCGGGAGCGAGAGCATAAGAAGTAGGGAGAATCTCACTGAGTCTCGACCTTCTCCTTGGATTTGGTCTCGGACTCGGATTTGGTCTTCTTCTCGGACTTGTCGGTCTCGGACTCGGATTTGGACTTCTCGGTCTTCTCGGTCTTCTGGGTCCCGGAATTCTTCTCGGGTTCGGTCTCGGATTCGGACTTCTTGGGATCGGTCTCGGTCTCGGATTCGGACTTCTTAGGATCGGTCTGGTACTTCGTAGGATCGGTCTCGGTGTCGGCCTTCGTAGGATCGGTCTCGGGCGTCGGGGTCTCGTAATTCTTGGTCTCGCCTTCGGTCTCGTCCCAGATGGTCATGACGACGGCCCCGAGGAGCTCTATGGTGGTAGGCTCCCCGATGATCTCGCCGCTCTCGAGGTCGCGCTGCCAGATGACGACCGAGTCGTTGTTCTGGTGGCCGACGGCGATCATGTCGCCCTTCTTGTTCAGCGAGAACTGGCGGGGCGACCAGCCACCGGACGGGGCGAGCTGGACGAGCGTGAGCTGGCCGTCGGCCCCGATTGAGAAGGTGGAGAGGGTGTCGGTATCGCCGGACTGGTACTTGGGGGAGGCCTTGAAGGAAACGTCACGGCTAGAGACGATGATGAAGCGGTTGTCGGGCTGGAGGGGGGCATGTCAGTATGGATTCTGGAACCGGGAGAGGGCTGCTTGGTCGTCGAGTATACATGACTGTATAGTAAGTAGGTTCAGATGAGGACGGGCTGGCTTACGGTCAAGACGATACCGCTGAGGGGGGCTTTCTCTGCCGGCAGAGCTGCATCCACCCCCGCGACGGCAGAGACGAAGGTCCAGGTCAGGCCCGAGTCGGAGTAGGTGATCTCGTAGGTGTGCACCTGCTGGTCGAGCTCACCGACGAAGAAGAGATACTGCTTGCCCGTGTCGGAAGTCCAGAAGACGCCGTGGCGAGGACCCACGCCCTTTTCCGTCTGCAACGAGGGCTGCTCGGCCACGGGAATCAGCTTCTCGGAATCCCAAGTGTAGACGCGGATCATGTCCTGGCCCAAATCCGGCATCAGCATGAACTTCCCGGTCGGGTCGATGATCACGTGGTGCAGGTAGGACGCGTCCTGGCGAGCGGTGACCGGGCCGGGCTCGACGGTCTCGGGGTACCACGACTCGTAGGCGTTGGGGTCGAACTGGCCATCGTCGCTGATGCCGACGATGGCGGCTGCACTCTTGTTGTAAGAGCACATAGCCATGCCCCTGGCTCCCGCATCGCCGCCGCCAAAGGCCTGGAGCCAGACTCCGGACGCGGGCACGGGGATCGAATCAATCGCGGACAACGAGCCAGTCGCATCGGCCGAGAAAGAGTTGAGGGTGCCGTTAACGTCCTTGTTAGAGGCGCGGTCGAGACAGTACAAGATCCGGTTAGGGGCGTCTAAGTACAGGCCGGACGGGTTCTTGTTGCAGTCTTCGGTCCGGGAAGACAATTCGAGGCTGATCTTGTCACCGGTGCGGGTGAGAGAGAGGGTGGTCAGGTTGCCGTTGGTCTCGGCCACGTACAGGTTGGTCGCAACCGTCGAGGTCGCGAGAAGAGCCGCGTGGAACAGCGACTTGAAGGCCATGACGAGGCTGGAGGGGGGTTTGGGTTTGGGTTTGGGTTTGGGTTTGGGTTGAGGTAGAATATAGTAGTAGGCGTGTGGTACAAAAAAAATGAATGTAAAAAAGGATTGATACACCGAAATGAGGGCGCAAAAAGAAAAGAATGTAAACGATCTGGAGAGGAGAGAATCAGAAGACCTGAGACTATGCCCGTCGCTGTATATGTATTTCAGCAAATTACCTTCCCAAGTCCAAATAGCTAAACATATCCCCATCTCGGCCAGCGGGTCACGTAAATCGGCCCTCCTTATTTCCGTCTCGCTGCTGCAGCCGCCGAGCAATCCAAGCATCGGCAGGCCAGGTCGGCAAACCTTCGCCTTCGGAATCGCGGATAGAGACTGCACTGAGGTCGACGGAGCGGACTTCTTGGGGGCGAAGTCGAAGGCGTCCAAGTAAAGTCAGTTGGTTTGGGCGCCCGTTTCAAGAATCTCGCGGCCAGTCTCGTCTGCTTGTAATCACTGCTTCTAACAAATCTTATTCTTCGTGTCCGAAACTCAGCGGTGGGCCTTTGCAGTACATGTCAACAATTTCCACGAGGAACATCCTGACACGGCGGCAGGTGCTGCTGGGATGATTTGCATTGCATGACTCCCGTCCATGGTGTTGTAATGGTAGTCGTACGTAGTACGGTGATTATTGTGGTTATTGTATACGGAGTATATCCCTTTGCTTTAGTGACATTGTGTTGCCCGTGGAAACATGACTAGGCTTATAACCGTGTTGCATAGTATCGCTTTGCATTTATTCATTTATTTATTCATTCATTCATTCATTCATTCATCCATTCATCCATTCATCCATTCACCCATTCATCCATTCATCTATTCATTGCCTTACTAAGCCAGTAAGTGTGCCCTTGTGAAACATAAAAGTCAAAGTACAGTCACTACTACTAATTCGGTTCCTGCTGACTCTGCCGTATCAGGGGCCACATCGTTCTGTATCGGGACCTGAAATCTCTTCTTATTCTTCTCATCTCGGCGCCTTTGAAACGGGGAACCCGGGGAACTGGTGAAACGACGAACTTGCCGTCCGAACTCTGAAGAAGGAGATGAACAAGAACAGCAAGAACAATAAGAAGAAGAGCATGAAGATCAGGAACAAGAAGAACAAGAACAAGAACAAGAACATGAAGAGCAAGAACAAGAAAATCTTTCATCTTCCACTCCACCACTCGCTTCCAGCCGTATCACCCTAAATAACCCCATCGGCAGTACTTGCACGCGGATCAAATATGCTTCAATATGGGTAGCCTTCAACTCAGTAGATACTTCGATACTTCGATACTTACTACGTAGCTACGTAGTACTTACGTAGCGAGAGAGGGCTAATTACAATTACCCGTCATCAATCCAGATCTGCGCGCCTCAGTAGTAGGTAGTAGTACTACCACTACGTAGAAGAAGAACCTTGTAGTCTAAAGCCAACGGTAGCTACTGGTATCGATCTTCCGCGATGCCTATGCGTTGCCCCCGGGACCGAGGTCCGATTCTGAAGGGGGCCTTTGACTTTCTGGCTCAGTGGATGTCATACTACTACGTAGTACTTACTGTAGTAGCATTAACCGTCGGATACATCGGACGTGTCCACCTACCGGTACCCTTCCCTTCCCTTCCGCTGTCGTGGGACTCCATAGCTATGCCTGCTTGCCCGGATCCGTCCCAAACCAGCACAGCACAGCACAGCATAGCACAGCACAACTTCAGACGATCCAAGTTCGTCGCAAGCTGACACTAACCAAAAATAGAATCCAGTGTTCAGAAGGTGTTGAATCGCCTTGATACCCATATTTCAGGCCCAACAATTACCGCCTGAGGGTAGGGTAGCCAGGGGTTTTACAGTTTACTCCGTAAAGGGGAGATTTGAAGTATGGAGCCACCTCCCGGCGGCAAGGCAATAATCACTAATATACTATACTACGTAGTAGTAGTACTACCACTTAGTAGTATTAGGGCTGTACAGGGTGAGAGTTTCCCCGTAGATACTAGTAGTATTATCACCGTAGGGAGAGCCAAGAGACTTATCCCAGTACAAGAAAAAAGGTCATCCCAATATCGCAACATATCCGCAACTTTCGGACGATGCAGAAGCCTATCTACCGAGGGGGGAACTCTTCCAGCGCTGTGTCCTTCCTGAAACACATCCCTCCAAGCTGGAAAACTCTACCTCACGTTGCTTTAGGCGAAGAATATGGAGCAATCAACTCCAAGTTCCGAATTACCGGACAATCCTTGGTGTGGACATTCAGGGTCGCCAGCTAATTTAGGGGCCCACCAAGATCCAACAACCTACTGTACTGTACCGCTATAAGTACAGCTGCGGCACAACGCCTTTACACATTCTCTCTCCAGATCATCCTTCTCAGACAGCTTCGACAGCGTCGTCCCTCTTTTTTTTCTTATTGACTTTGCACTTTTACATTTTCATTGCAACTTTTTCCACACCACTCAGACCCACCCATCCTCGATCACTCGCGATGGATTCTTCACCTTCTTTCAAGAAGCTCCTCGTCCGCTCTTTGCTCCTGCTGGGGCCGTCGCTCGTTGCGGCTCAAGGGGGGAACCTGGCATCGTGCCTCGACAGCGCCGGAGTGCCTTACATCCTTGACAGCGCTCCTAACTGGGCCAACGAGACCTCGCCGTGGCAACTCCGTCTCAAGGATGATGTGAGCCCTGCGGCATTGGCCTGTATGTCCTTCTCCCTCTCCTCCCTTTTGAACATCTACAGATCATGAGCTGACACCGAAGCAGACCCGACCGACACGGACCATATCGCCGCGTGTTTGGCCTGTGCCGAAGAGACCAAGACCAAGGTGTCGGTCCTCTCCGGTGGACACTCGTTTGTCGCCTACGGATTCGGCGATCCAGGAAACCTGGTTATCAACATGGCGGCCTTCAACACCTGCTCCTACGACGCAGCGTCGGAGACCTACACCATGGGCGGAGGAACCCGCGTCGGTCCTGCCGTGAAGCAGCTGTGGGAAGAAAACCAGAGACATTTCGCGCACGTCCGTCACGGCCGAGTCGGTGTGGTCGGGGCCTCCATCGGTGGTGGTTTTGGGACCACCTCCCGATTCCTGGGGACGCCCATGGACAACATCGCCGGGGCCGAGATCATGCTGGCCAACGGCACCATCGTCGATGCTAAGCCTGGATCTGACCTGCTCTGGGCCATCAGCGGAGCGGGCTCATCGTTCGGGGTCATCATCTCGCTCACAACCAAGACCTGGCAGCCTGCCCACGCGAACATTACCACCTTCACCATCACGCTCTCCCCCGAACAGGGGCCCGATGGCGCGGCCTCGGCGGTCATTGCCGCGCAAGAGATGGCTCTGGCGGGTGAGATTCCGGACGAGTTGGCCTTGCGATTTCAATTCAGCAAAAAACCAGGCTACAACACGCTTGGATACTACTATGGCGACCCAAAGGATTTCGACTCTGTCATCCAGCCCCTAATGGACAAGATGCCCGCCAACACCACCATCGAGTCGGAATCCGTCGAATTCTTCGAGGCTGAATCCACCATCGCCGTCGGCGCCAAGCTCCCCCAGGGCGGTACCTCCCCCCCGCGTACATTCTACATCCAGTCCCTCACCACGACGGCCGACCACCCGCTAAGCCTCGAAACCGTCACGCTCGCCTTCCAGCGCGCAACCGTCGACTTCGACCGCCCCGACCTGAAGTCCTCGGGCTTCTTCGACATCTACGGCGGCTTCTCCAAGAACGTCAAGGATAGCGATCACGCGCATGCCATCGGCAACGTTCTCTGGTTCATCCGAATGGACACCAACACCATGAAGAACGATGACCCCTGGCCCGTCGACGGCACCAGCTACGGCAAGAGTATCCTCCTTCCCTTTGAGGAAGCCCTCACGGCCGCCAACCAGCCCCTGCGCGGCTTTGCCAACTACCGCGACAGCGAGCTGACCGAGGATCAGTGGTCATCCCGCCTGTACGGCGAGAACTACGGCCGCCTCAAGGAGATCAAGGCCGCCTACGACCCGACTGGCATGTTTACCAACAACAAGCAGTCCATCGCGTGAGTCTTGTTCTCGTCTATTGCTTTTTCTTATCCGACTCGCGCCATATCAGCCCTCTCAACCTCTCAACCTCTCAATATCTCAATACATCTCATGCTTTTTTTGCGTTTTCTTATCCGACTCGCGCCATATCAGCTCTCTCAACCTCTCAACCTCTCAATATATCTCATGCTTCTTTGCGTTTTCTTATCCGACTCGCGCCATATCAACCTCTTTACATCTTTACATGTTTCACCTCTCTCCCTCTCCCCCCC